GTGTTCGAGAGAAAGAGAACTATTGAGGATGAAAATGCTATTTAAACGTGCTCATAGGGTTCCTGTGTGGTCCGTGTCACTGCATCTCAGGAGTCTGGCCCCTTGCTTGTCTCACAGCCCTCGTGGCGGGGCCCACACTGCCACCTTGTGGCCGTCCGAGCCCCCCGGCTTGCCTTGTTTCCCGGCCTTTTTCCGCTTGCTGGCCTGGGGCCCCGGCCAAGACCACCCGGCTTCAGTCTTCTTCAGAGGCCAGAAAGGACCGGGTGGGTGAGAGAGACCGGGGAGAGGATAGAGAGGTCTCAAACGTTTTCAATATATTTAGGAGCACAAATGCAAGGGACTGCACGACCTACCAGGACAGAACTTTCCCCAATTACAGGGTGACTCACAGCCGCACTGGTGACTCACTCCAATGTGTCATTTCCGGCTGCTGTGTGAGAGCCGTGGACACGTGAGGGGGGGAGGGGTGAAAGAGACAGCGCTCAGATCCACCTACCTTAGTTTGATGCTCTTTTTGAAAACCTGCCGGCTAGGGGGTATGGCACAAAGGCCAACTGATTGAAGAATCGCACGCCGATGTGAAATGAATGTGACCTAATAGAAGCCTAATTATCCCACCCTGCTCTTCACGGGGAAATCCGCCTTCTTTGGGTTTTTCTCTTTCTTTCTTTCTTTGATTATGCACTGGAAAGTGACAGCCACACACAGCACCCAGGACCCACAGAGAGTGGGCCCAATGCTCTCGAGATTGTGTTGATTTATATGCTTTTTCACTTTTGATATATAAACAAGTAAAAATGTTTCCAAAAAATAATAAAATAAGTAAATACAAAGAACATACCAAGACAGTCCTTGCCTTTCCCTTCGACGTTTATACACAGTCCAAGAAACCAAAGTCCTGTTGGTTCCTATTCCCCTCTGATGAAAGAGACCTTGTGAAACCTCACACCCACAGCCTCAGGTGTGTTGACCTGCCGCGGGTGAGTTCACAAGGTGGTCGCCACGGCTGGGCCACCAGGCCCTAACACAAGGCCCTCAGGATGTGTTGGGGAGGAGGGTTGACTGTAACCCCCGGGCGTCATCCTAGACAAGGAAAAAGCGTTCTCACACATGCTTTCCACCCACTCGGATGGGCCTACTCATGGCCACGGTCCCTGGGAGTTCCCAACTCCGTTCATGCCACTTCCTCCTACCGCCCCCACTTGTCATTTTTCCAAACACAGATCAAGATCCATTCTTCCACCTAGGACTTCCCATGAACCCAGGCCACACCATCACTCTCCACGTGACAATAACCGGGTTTCCTCTGCTGGTCTGGAGCAGAACTTGAACTTTTTTATCTTTGTGTGTATGTGTCGCCCTCCTCAATCCCAACTGGTATCAGGTTCCTGGAAAGCAAGGCTCTTTTGTGATATACACTCTCACGATCCTCTTTCCTGAAAAGTCTTTTATTCTTTCTCCAGCATCTTTTTTTTGAGTTAGAGTCTCATGCCGCTGCCCAGGTTGGAGTGCAGTGGCACGCTCACTGCCACCGCAGCCTCGACCTGTTGGGCTCAGGCTATCCTTCTGCCTCAGCCTTCCAAGTAGCTGGAACTACAGGCGTCCGCTACCATGCCTGGCTTATTTTTTTATTTATTGTAGAGACGAGGTCTCGCCAAGTTGCCCAGGCTGGTCTCGAAACCCTGGGCTCAGGCAATCCTCTCACCTCGGTCTCCCAAAGTGCTGGGATTACAGGCTTGAGCCACCGGGCCTGGTCTCCTTCTCCAGTATCTTAAAGGTTTTTGGCAGAGGGCACACTTCCCTCCATTTGTTTCTGTTCAAAAACAATTTTTTAAACTGAAAAAATACCAGTAGCTGTCTGTCAAAATGGTGTGCTGTCCAACTCCAGTGCCCTAAAGATAGAACTCATAAATCCAGCCCTCTGGATATCCAGTTCATTTCCTAATAGGAACGAATTATGGTTTTGTTCAAAATACTGTTCAGGAGTTAAGCAGTAGTGAGTTCTCTGTCACTGGAAATGTTCGAAGACAGCTTGGAGGGGATGCTTCAGTGGTCAGTGTGTAAGATGCAGTGACTTTTTTAAATTATAAAAAAAATGCTCATAGTAAGACATTCAAACAGTTCAAAATGATAGAAATGGAAATTTGCCCAGGTGCAATGGCTCACGTCTGTCATCCCAGCACTTTGGGAGGCCTAGGCAGGAGGCTCGCTTGAGCCCAGGAGTTCGAGACCAGCCTGGGCAACATAGCAAAACCTCGTCTCTACAAACAAAAAAAAGATGTTTAAAAATTAGCCAGGCATGATGGTATGCGCCTGTAGTCCCAATTACTCAGGTGGCTGAGGTGGGAGAATCACTATAGACCAGGAGTTGGAGGCTGCAGTGAGCTGTGAGCGTGCCACTGCACACCAGCCTGGGTGACAGAGCAAGACCCCAACTCAAAAAAAAAAAAAAAAAAAGGTGGAAACTTCATAGGCTTCCAGTTTCCTGGGTGTTCTTTTAGAATTTGCAAGCATATTTACAAGCATATTTAAAATACTTTTTTTAAATTTACAAGCAAATTTAAAATATTCTTTTCTCTGACAAATAAAATCACTATATATAGACATATATAGTATTCTACAGTTTGCCTAACAAACCATCCTAGACACCTTTTCCTAATTCTTTGTAAAATCTGCATATATGCATGTACTGCGATTCCTTAACCCCCACAATGGACACGCTGGTTGTTTCATAGCTGTTGTTATTGGTGGTGGTATTACCCCGGTGCTGAGGTAGACAGCCTTACTTATTTATCTCAGTGCTCATGTATCCACAGAATAGCTTCCTAGTGCTAGGACTAAGTGTCTCTTTTAAGGATCTTCTAATCCTGAAATTGTGCGATTCTGGAGATACAAACATTTTCAAATGGTACAAAATAATCAAAAGTGATCGTTTTGCCTGGTTAGATTCTTACCTTTCCTGGAGCTAAAAATAAGACTTCACGACTTTCTTACATAAGCCCACTGCCATGAATAAAGATAGATTTTAGCCTTTGAGCTAAAAGATCCTTTATGCTATCTTTTTCTCTACAATGATGTTAGACTTCCTTAGAGCAAATTCTGATTATGTGTTTGAGAGTAAATCCAGAAAGGGTATTCATTCATTTACTCACTGCTTACTCATTTAACATGTACTCAAGGCCTTCTCCACACCCCTGCCATTCCAGTTGGTTTCTCAAGGGTCAAACCGGGGCATTCTTGAGTCCCTCCAACGTGGCGTCTTAGATGTTCAAAGGAGATATAGTTGTTGTATGCCCTCCTTATGGGTCCCTCTCAGATTTGCCTTCTTCAAGCTTTCTCTTCTCCCATGACACTGGTATAGTAAGAAAGGCCCCAAAGTCCAATCAAGCTTGGAAGGAAGGATCTTTCCCTCCCCTTAAAAAGCCAGTGGGAACCCAGACGAGAGGCCTGGAATGGAGACCCACCAAAGTTACTCTCAGCTTTAGAGAGAGATGGTCTCCGTTAACCTCACTGAGTTTTCATTTTTCCTCTTCTATTCTCAGTATGCAACTGGCAGGCTCTGTAGAACCCACATAGGGCATGGAACCAGAGAAAAGATCACCGAGACCACTCGGTCTGCTTTTAGCTGGTTCAGCCCCCAGAGATGCAAATACTGGGTTTGGCCTAACCAAGTTCAGAAGGTTGCTTTACGCTGGGATTTGTGGCCAAAATGTCAGCTGGCACTAAAGTATTCCCCCTCCTGACTTGTCCTCTTTTAGAGATCACCCTTCGGGCTCCTAGGTGGAAGCGGGAGCCATGAAGACAACAGTCCAAGAAGTCAGGGACACCGCGGCCCAGGGATATCTTTTGACCTCCTTACATATGGCCAATTTCAGGCCCTGAGCTAGTGGGCTGAAAAGTTCCCTGTCTGCAACAGATTTGCTTAGAAACCTAAAGAGCCTCTTAGAAAACAGAACAAGTTAGCCCTGATTCTGCAGTAGACAGTTCAAAAACTGTGCATACACGCTGAGAAGGCTCGAGAGAGAAGAGTTCTTCAAAAGGGTCCCTCACCACAGAGGAGGCCTGCTCCAGGAAATGCTCCACTTAACGGTGCTTGCTGCTTTTCTCGGATACTGTGAGGACAAAGATCTCGCGGCCTCACAGTGCGAGGCCTCCCCGGCACTGTTTGACTTTGCCTGCCCCCCTTCCTGGGCTGTTCTAAGTTTGTCTTCCCTTATTTCTTTAGGAATGAAAAACCAACAACATCTGCCTCCAGTCACCATGACCGCAGATTTCTTGTAAACCTCACACGGTGGAATTATTTATCTGCCCTTGTGTGGGCAAAGAGGTTGAATGTCGTAAGTCTCTCGATG